TAAAGCATTTAATTGTGTATGTACTTTTTAATGTATTTTTTTTTATTGTATTTTTATTCAAACTTTTGAAATTGCATCAAGCCCCATAATTTCATGTTAAACTGTTTCAACTATGACAACTATGTTATACGTCACGATTATTTTTTATAAAAGAGAAAAATTAATATTCATGACCACTAAAATAAGATTGGCGTAATTACAGACGGAAATAGACAAAAAATACTACGGAAATTTATCATTGTGCTAGACCTATACGTAAATAGGTCAAACGTCAAGAAAATACAAAAAATGTGATCCATAATTTTTCATTCCTGTGGGGCTTGTTTGTGAAATTTCACAGCTGCTGTTAGCTGACAAAGAAATAATTTCCATGTGTCTATCTCAAATGACACCGCTGTATATTGCAAAGTTCAAAGTTTTTGAAACTGGTGATTAAATTATGGTGAGTCACTCTGCACGAATCGAATACATGCCTGAAAATAACACGTTCAGGCTATTATCTTTTTTGTACCCATCGTACATAATATGTAAATATTTTGACGCTGAGAAACAACTGACGACACGGCTTAGGCTAGCGTATGTGGAAATGCGTAAACAGCATGTGCTCACGAGACAGCTTCTCTGGTAAAAAAAAGACAAAAGTCAATATTTATTTCAATTAAGTTGAAATATGGAATTATATTCACTTCATGAGATGGAAACTTCGATGATCTATGTTGTTACAGTTTTTCAGACCTGTAGGTTTCGAATTATAGACGTTTCTTGACGTCCTCGATTTACCTCTATGAATGCAGGCTTTGACATAAGCGAAATTATTATATAAAATTTATCTTATCTTATCTTACCTTACCTTATATTCAACTAAAGTATTATATTATATAGAGGTGAAAATTACATATGTTGTTTGCCAAAATAGATGTTCATTTTAAACTTTCACTCGAATTCAACCCTGGCCATCAGTCGCAAGCTCGGTGGTCTAGAGGTATGATGCCAGGCTAGTGATCTGGAGATCGTGGGCTCGAGTTCCACCCGAGAACAACTTGCGATTTTTTTCACAATTGTTTTCAAATGAACTGAGTATTCGGTACATTTTCACGTCAGGTAGGGAAAAATGACACCTATACATGTTTCTCCTGAAGCAACTCCAGTTATTGTCAATTATTCCATCACGACAATAACAATTACTATCATTATCTTCTACTTACATAATTTTCTAACTGATAACTGCAGCTTGTATCCTTGAAATGGATCCAGTCATGATGGTGCTTAATAAAAATAAAAATAAAGCATAAAAACAAAGTTGGACCTAATTAACAGCTTTTTATTACGTTGAACGCGCTTTGCTGGATTAGATGGCTATACGCCGTTTACTAATCCATAGGGAGTGCATGTGGGACACATTTGAAATAAGAAATATAAACTCATTAAAAAATATATTACATCATAAAAAAATAAATTATTCCATTATGGTTATACCAAACATCCAAACCAAAAAAAAAAAAAAAAAAAAAACAAAACACTAAACTAATCCGAATATGAAAAATTTAAAGAAATTAATTTTGTTATTAATATATTATTTCCATCACTTAGTTATAGAATGTCAAACTATACGTTATCGTATAATTGTACTTATATGTGATATTCCATCAAAAAATGAGTCTAATCTTTTGGAAATCAAAAAGTTAATTCAACCTACGCAAATAAGAGACCTAGAAGTAAAGTAGAGAATATGCACAGAGGACTTGTCCAGATCAAAGGAGTCTTTAAAAACGTGTTAATATGTGTTAAGCAGGGGTAGGCCTGATAGAGAAGCAATCAGTTGAAAAAAATGGCCTAATGGAAGGGCATAAGCTGTGAGGGTGTTTAAACTGTGACATGTAAGGAAAGTTAATTAAAAAAATACACCACGTCATCCACATCCATGAACACCCACAAAAACTCGAAATAGCGAGATCGATTCTTACCAGAAACCGCTTTTTTAATACAACTAATAAGGAAGTTTCGTTTATTAACAGTGTTTGGATATGATTTATAACATGTTCCTATATATTTGAGCACTATTATTATTATCTATTCGATTTATACAATTTTGTGTTCTTAATGCTAATAACTAGATTATATATATATATATATACATATATACATATATAATAATAATTAACTAATTAAACACAATAAAAAAAAGAACCGAACTAGTTGCTAAGTGTCGCCACAACAACATACTAAAATGTGAAAGCGTGAAACAACATCCAATACATACTTTTTTTTTAGCTGTTGCTAATACAATATAACATTCAATCTATTATACAATTTCATTATTTATTTATAGGACAACATTCGTTGGGAGCTATGCTACAGGATGTATTATCATGTCCTTTATTCGAACACTGTATTTAACTTTCTTTGATGATTTATATATAACTTAACAGTGTTAACGTCTACCTGTTTATATTATATATATATATATATACAATTATATATAAATTATCAAATATCCGATGTAATTGGTTTCATGTATGTCTCAGAAATATATAAATATCCAAATACAAAAATGAAAGGATAGAATACGTTGACATAATAAAGACATAACAATTTATTCAAGACGAATATTTCGGACACGCTTGTGTCCTTCTTCAGCGTTTACACGCATGAACGAGAAATACAGAACAGATCAAAATAAAAACTGTAAGTAATTAACCAAGATAAATCGTAAGATAATAGGCACACTATAGTAATTGAGAAGCTATTAACTAAAAACTGTCGGTAGCACTTAAAAGAGTTGGCGGTAAGATGGCCTATGACAAACAACAGAGCGAAATAAACAAAATGTCGGCAGTCATTAATAATAATTATAATTATTATTTTTAATATTATTATGTCTCTATTATGTCACGTATGCTGTCATTTCATTTTCGTATTTGCTTATATTTATTTATATATATATATATAATTATATATATATATATGAATATGTATATATATATAAAAATATATATATATACATATATATAAATATATATATATGTATACTGTCTCTTAT